AGAGAGAGAGAGAGAGAAACCTGTCAAATTATTAAATCTAATAATTAACGTTTCACCTTTGAACGTCAATTTTTAGGTACTTGCTGTGAAAGCATCGGTCAAACTTCAAACTCGATGCGATCTCATCCAAGAACAAGAACAATTATCGCGACTCTATCGAATCGTTGCTTGACAAAAAAAAAAAAACGTACGAACTTGTCTTCTTCTTCTTCTTCTTCTTCTTCTTCTTGTCTACTTCAATCATTTGTTTTTCTTTTCTTTTTTTCCCGCCGTTTATAATATAATAACCGAATTGATACTTTACCCGATTTAATGGTGGAACGTGAACGAGTTCGTTCGTGTCGGGTCGTTTAATCGAAATCGGATGGATTGTCGTTGGGGGGGATGGAGGAAGGGGAAATTTGTCGATTCGAGTCGAAATTGAAGTTAGACCGTGGAAAGACACGAAGATTTTCCTTTTCGACAATTTGTCGGCAATCGCATCGATTATCGCGTTCGATTAATGTAAATATTATATGGAATATAATATATATATATATATAGAAGGATCGATACGGAAGATAGATGCGATTGAAATTCGTTTCGATTCGGCGGTTGTATCATCATCGATCATCGGATCCGAGACAATACACGGAAATTAAGGGGCCAGCATTTTTGAAAGTTCCTCGTCTTGAAGGCAACCTTTCAAAAATTCCTCCTCGGTAAGTTGACCGTCATTATTTTCGTCCATTCTCGCGAAGATGTTCTTCGCTCTTTCTTCCGCGCTATCTGCCGGTCTGTTGCTCGAGCATGCTCCGAGCATGTCGTATATTGCCTACAAACAGAAAACAACATCGTCTATTTAATAAGAATCGTTTCCACGTGACGCGATCCATCATCATCCTGTTTCATCCTCGTTATTTTATTTTCCCGTTCGATTTTACAACTCTTCCCGCTCGATCATCCATCTTTAATTTACGACGTACGAAAAAATATCGAATATTTCGTTCGAATATGCACGTTAGACGAGACGAAGCGAACTCGATTTTCGAATCGACGGTAGATAATTCGCGTACACTTAAACTTTTCACCTTTTTTTTTTTTTTTTCCCCATAACCTATCGTATCTCGGTGAAATTGCCGATTCGAGGAAAGATAAAATAATCGAGAAACGATATCGTATTCGTTATTATTTCGCGGCTTATAGATTCCATTTCCGATCAACGTTTCCATTTTCTTCTTCGCTCAATTTTTTCATTCCATTTTTTTGTTTTTTTCCATCGAAATTTTACTCGCTTTAACGCTATATTAATTTACCTATATCTACATTTTTATATTTTTTTTTTTTACACGTTACAGCGAAAAGTTACGCGACTTCTATAAGGATTTTATATTTTTTTTCTATCTATAGAATTTTAATGTAAAATATTAATTATTAAAAGAGAGAGAGAGAGAGAGAGAGAAGTAAAATTTTAAACTTAGTAATTAATTTACTTAGTTTTAATTTTTAACGTAATTAAAATTAAAAATTTACGTACGTAACTAAAA